CTCGACATAACTGCTTGGAACATTTTGCTCTCACTGGAATAAATAGAAGGCAAAAAGGCAGGGGTAGACCACGGGTAATTTCCCTAGAACATTTGAACATATGGGGGACACGGAAAGACCGGGAAAATACAAGTTCTAAGAGCATCCAAGCATATAAAATTCAGCAAACCATAATCGCCAATGTCTGTTTCAGATCTGGCACTCGACGATGATTATGATAACCTTCGAGTACCCTTACACCCCAGACTCCGGAGGCCATACCCCATTCAAGGTACTTTCAGGGTGTCTGTTATTAGAGTCATCAAGAAGGATTTCATTTCTTTAAATTCATGCACCAGTTACAGACGAATTATATTTTAGTTGCGAACACAATAATTACAAAGAATAATTAGCTCGGTATAATCTGCCACACACTACAAGATAAGCAACTGAAATGTCGTAGAGAACACTATCAAAAATTAAAAAGAGCTAAATACAATGCTTAAGAGGGATTCAGAAATAATTTGAGCATCACTTCAACTTAAAAAATATGGAACTCTTCATTATTTCGATCGCACCCCGTCGCTCCTTTGGACGAAATCAGCGAAGTCGAGAGGGGGTTCGTTCAAATTGGGCAAGGCACGTTCTCCATGCAGTCAGGCCCGGGCATTTAGCTTAGTCAAGATTTCAATACAACCTTGAGACAATCTTAAGCTTAATTGACCGTCTGGATAGCCGAAAAGAGCCATACATTATTTCAGTCAATTTTTGCCGAGTGGTATACAGTACATGGAAGGCTGAACAGCAGATAAGTACGGGTAGATGGGAGCGTGAACTAACCAAAAATAAGAAAAAAAAACAACAACAACAAAAACAACAACAACAACAATAATTTTTTTTACTAAGAGTTTTACGGCACTTGCAACACAATAAAGTCATATAAGTGCCGAAGATCAGATGTGTAACAAGAGAGTAACAAACACAAAAAAAGAAGTAGGGTGAGATAGAGACGATATGATTTTTAATTTATATGAAAGAAGGAGCAAACCACACCCGACCACCCGCCAACCACCCACACAACAACAACACCGACAACAACACAACACAACAATAACAACAACAACAACAAAAAACAACAACAATAACAACAACAACAACAACAACAACAACAACAACAACACAAAAACACAGCAAAACGACCAGCCCTTAACCTTTTGAACCTAAACGAGCTCAAAAGGAGAGACAAAAAAGAGG